AATCTCATAAGAGAATGCCACTTACCAAGAGCTCACATCTCTCTCTCTCTCTCTTCTAATGGCAAACTATGACAATGGCTACTTTCTCACGCTGCCAAGAGCTCACGTCTTTCTCTCTCTAAGGGAAGACAACAACAATAACCAGTTTCTCATACTACCAAGAGCTCACATCTCTCTCTCTCCTCCCAATTAGAGCTCCATCCCCTCAAAGGCAAAACCATAGTCATAGAGGCTACATTTCATTGCACTACTATGCCATGAAGTTCATCTCCTTGGAGTGCGAGGGTAAAGTTTGCACTTTCTCTCTCTAAGTGCAAGCAAAGATTACATTTCAAGTGAGAAAGAGAGAGACAGAGAGGTTCTAAGTGCAAGGCAAAGATTTCATTTCAAGATAGAGAAAGAGAGAGACAAGGGGTTCTAAGTGCAAGCCAAAGATTTCATTTCTAGAGAGAGAGGGGTTCTGAGTGCAAAGCAAAGATTTCATTTCAACAGAGACACAGGGGTTCTAAGTGCAAGGCAAAGATTTCATTTCCAGAGAGAGAAAAAGAGACCTGGGTTCTAAGCGCAAGGCAAACATTTAAGTTGTAAAGAGAGAAGGAGAGAGAGAGAGGGGTGGTCACATCATTAGAGGAGCATGTGACCACCCCTGCTGGGCTTATGGGAAGCAGTGCAAACAAACAGAGAAATATATTCCTAAAAGAAAAAGAGAGAAAATCCCTGAAAAAGGCAAAAGGGCTTTCTGGTTGGGGGCATCATTTCACACCAGAGAGGAGCAGGAGCAGGCGCTAGAGAGAGAAAGTAGAGAGAGAAACAAACAGGACCTAGAGAGAGACTCGTGCTTCCTGGTTAAGGGATCCTTGAGAACTCAAATTTCTCAAGTTTTTTAGTGCAAAAGTAGACACTAGACCACTCTAAGCCCTGTTATTCAACGAGAATCTGAAAAAGTGAGGTCTTCTACATGCTCTCTTTTTTATATCTCTTTTTCCTTTTTATTTATTTTGTTTTCTCATCTGGGTTTTTTATTTTCTGTATTTTACTTTCTGGGTTCCTTTGTTTTATTGCAAAAAGTTTATTTTCCTTGATGCAAATGTGACTGCTTTGGATAATGAAAGATTTTGGGCCATGGGTTTGATATTTAGTTATTTGTTTATTATTCTGAGAGTTGCATTTAAAGGAGTTTGGTTTTCTTGTTTGAATGATTGATTCCATGAAACATAGAGGTTTGCTGATTTAACGTTTATATGGAGGTATTTTCAGCTAAACACTTCTCTCTCTCTCTCTCTCTCTCTCTCTCTCTCTCTCTCTCTCTCTCTC